CAGACCTCTATGGAAGGTTTGAGCAGGCTTCTTAAGAGTCAGGAACTGCCCAATTATCACACCATTCTGCAAAGGTGTGAAATCAGGTGAATACTTTGCATTGCAATTGGACCAGAGTAGCCTTTAAGGAGAGACACCTGGGTAAGTCTCATGTCTGGTGATGGGATTTGCGGGTAGGAAAGACACATGGAACAGGGAGAGAAAGCAGAAGAATAATAGAATAGCTAGGAAGTATATGAGAAATATAGAGGGTTCCTAATCTTGTGTCAGTTGCTCTTGGTCCTCACTAATATGTCAGACCCCCACTGAGGGTTTCTGTGGGTACATGGGATAATGCAGGCCATCTTTGGGAGTGCTGAAGGACTATTGTAATAATTCAATGTGAAAATTCACCTTACTCTCCATGAAGTATTGACCTTCTTTGACATATTTTTCAAGTTGATTTAACCATGGTTTCATGCCCATAGTGAAAATAAAAAGGAAACATAAGAAGCACACAACCCTGGAAAAGTACAGGATATGAATAGGTTTCTGGAGTAAAAAGTATTCTTATGTGACACTACATTTATCATTTCTATAGAGGCAGTAGCAACTTTGTATTGAATGGCCAGTGGTAAATGACTAGTTTGAATCCTCCCCATCTTGAACTTTGAAATGCAACATAGAATAAAAGGTAGAGTATGGGGCATTGACAATCATAAGCATATGTGATCTTATTAATCTCTCCTGCGTTAATCTTGCTCTAATGTAAAGAAGAATCTGTTCTCATGCCTTCCCTAACTTTTTATTGTTGTTGCTAATAGAACACAGGCCCTTGTGCCCAGCTGCCCTGGGCTGGACCTCTCAGCTACTTTTTATCCACATTAGTGCCATGTCCCATTGGACAATATTTAAGGTTTCTCAGCATTCTTTATTATTCATTTTCTCACATGTACGTCCTCTATTTTAATGCGTTATGATTTTTTTCATTATAACAGATAAATCAACATAAGAATTATCAAGTTGTGGTTGTCCATACCTTAAATATTGTAACTTGTGATTTAGGGGTAGGCAGGACTCCATGAGCATGAAGTCTACAACATCTACTTAGTGAGTTCTTTGTTTTTAGTTTTTTGTTTTTTTGTTTGTTGTTTGTTTGTTTGGCTTTTCGAGACAGGGTTTCTCTGTATAGCTTTGGAGCCTATCCTGGCACTCACTCTGGAGACCAGGCTGGCCTCAAACTCACAGAGATCTGCCTGCCTCTGCCTCCCGAGTGCTGGAATTATAAGGTGTGCACCACCAACGCCAGGCCATAGTGAGTTCTAAGACAGCAAAAACTACATAGTAACACCCTGACTTATAAACAATAACAACAAAAATAGCAAATACATGCAGAATTTTATATCAGTGGTTTTAGTCACTTACTTTTCTCATGCTATTTTTTGTTAACCAAATGCTAGTATTTCCTGTTGTATTTTGAACAGAGAACGAGTGGTGTGTGTGTGTGTGTGTGTGTGTGTGTGTGTGTGTGTGTGTATAGTTACCTCTATAGATTTTATTTCTGAAATAGTAACAATGCATATTTCTGGTAGAAATCATAAACAGCAGGTGTATCTTTTACTTGTGAAATTTATCTGGAAAATGGGAAAACTTCCTATGATTTGAAATCACACTTAGAACCCTATATTTAGCCACAGCCTGGAAAGTTTTATTTGAATTTGCCATTTCCCCGTGGTGTGAAGGATCATGTTGAAATGAAAACTTATTTTTAGAAATAACTATTATTTATTTATTTTTATTTGGTGTGTCTGAATATTTTGCCTGCATGTATATGTGTGCACTATGGGAATTCAGTGTCTTCTTTGGCCTAAGAGGGTTTCAGTACCTACTGGAACTGGAGTAATTGTGAGACACCATGTTGGTGCTGGGGAAAAAAAAACAAGGTCATCTACAAAAGCAAGATTTCTATGCCAATAAGCCTTTTCTCTATTCCCTTTAAATGAAAACTTTCCCTCAAAACTTACAACTGCCTAACAGCAAATTTAAAAATGTCAGGTGGGGAACAAAAATTGCATATTAGAATTAAATATATGTGAGAGAATCTCTCAAGGCACTGTGATCATAGCCTGAGATTAGTGAGTTTGGGTAACACTACCCATGTTCTTGATGTTTCTGCATCCACTCTGCCTATGAACACCTTTTGGTTTAAACAGTCACATATCTTCAGTGTTTCTAAGGTCTGATTCTGACATGTCCACATCATAGAGAAATGAAAATCAAGAAATGTGTGAAATTAAGATATCTGTGAGTCAAAATTGTATTTGATATAGGCAATATATGCACTTAACTCCTAAAATTTTTGCCATTTGTTTAGCACGAATAATAAAAATGCAGAGAAAGTTATTGGGAATAAAGCTGAAGATCAGATAAGTAAAGTGGCCAGTCATTAGAGCGTTCTCACCTCTACCAATGTTCAGTCATAAGGGGCCATCTACCAAACCTAAGATGCCACTGCTTTTCACCATACCTCAGACTCTCTCAGCTCCTGTCTCCTCCAGCATTTTATTCCTAACTAGTTCTGGGACTAAAGGTTTGTTATCACCACTGCCTGCCCTATATGGATAGCAAGTGTGGCTAACTTTACATTCTAATGTTCAGGCAAGATTTATTAATCAGATCACAAAAAATATCACCAATTATACAGTCAATTATTAAAAATAAACCAAGTGAATATTTCCGAGTGAGAATATTGGGTTTCACTGGATGTGCTCAGTATTTTCTATACCATGTGTATAGTGTACTATGACTGTGTAGACAAATATTCATTACCAAAATTGGACAGAATGACCTTATAGATCTGAGCATAGAATTGGTCTCAGAAAATCGTGGTCATATGTCACTTTTTCTTTTCTTTAACATTTCTTCTTATTTCACTACATTGAATGAGGGTGCATGGAAATACTCAATTCTCAAAGATGTGGTACAGATATTTCTTTGTTACTGTCATTCAAGGAATGTTCAAGGCCACAGCAGGACTTTGCATGAAGCATCTTGCCCATACTTGTATTTTTTTCTATCCTCATAGATGCTGCGGGGGTAGGTATATTGGGATCAATTTCCTAGAAATGTGCTCACAAACATTTAAACAATTTCCAATATCACTCAGTACAAGTGAGCAAAAAATAATGTCATTTTATGTGGATATTGTTCTGAAAATGTGATACCATGAGTTTCATGTGTATATGTCAGGTGCCACCAATGAACTTAAATCACACTCACTGTCTTCTTCTGTTTTTGATTCACAATGTTTCAATTTAAGGAGTTAAAACTCATAACCATTTATTGCATGAGAGTTTCCCAAGTTGAACATAATTTGTAAGAAAGTAGATATAGTAAAAACCAATAGTATAAAGTTTTCAAGACTCTCAATGTATGGGAAATTCTATCATATGTATATTGATTAATTGATTGTGGTGTATCAATGAGCCAATGAGGCTTATGTACATGGTGATGCTCCAAGAAATATTACTGGATTTTAATCTCTAAGATTCTTCAGTGATGAAAATAAGTTTACTTTGTTTATTGTAGTGGCTTGCATAAGCAGCTATGTTCCTAGTGTGTTTGAGTGCTTGATTAATAGGGTGTGACACTATTAGGAGGTGTGGCATTGTTGGAGCATGTGTGGTTTTAGAGGAATAGTGTCATTGTGGGTGTATGTTTGTGATCCCTTATGCCATTGGACTCTTTAACCCACTCTCTTTTATTCTATCATTTCCTGCCTAAGGAAAGGACTGGTATATGATTATCCCAGATTCCATTTCAATAGAGACAAAGAAGCTTTATCCAGTAGCTGCCATTCATCTGATATTGTCCATCTTACCATTCATTGTAGCACTTTTAGCCTTATATTAACCTATTGTGCATTCTGTAAGTTATGGTCATGCCAGATATTCCCTTCTCTCTAACAGACCTCACATTAGTGTATACACATGTCACATGTGTTTGTTTGTCTGTGTGGTATCATATTCATAAAGCCATGTCTTAACCTGGTGTGAGTTGTCACATAAAGCATCATTCTAAAGTACTTCGTTCTTTTAATATTTTTTCTTATCTAAGACTGTTCTAGGGTGAAGATCCAAAGACCACTCGGCATGATGAAAATCCAAAGTTAGAGTCTGTATTAATTAGATTTGGTTACCATATGGATGGAAACAATTCTCTCAGTTCATTTTACAAGGAGATTTCAAAGCAAACAAACTCGAGTAAATATATCCTCATTGGTTACTCACAAGTGTGCATGGAGAGTAAGCAATCAAGCAGTTAAAAAGAAGTAAAAACTTGCATTTATTCTATGGTATTTGACTTTCTGTTCTAGAACAGATTTGGGTACTTTTACAATGGACTTTTCATGGAGGGAGGAGAAAGGGGAGAGTTAGTTTCAGCTTAAATTAAAAATGGGTCTGCCTGAGTCAAGATAAGGGAAACTTTTCCATGTCAAAAAAATAGAAATATTCTTAGTGGTATTATGCATTTATCATTCCATAGCTTTTATTTTAGTTGAGATACATAAGTATTGATATATTTAATTTTTATCAGCATTAATGAAGTTGTTTTCTTTAATACCGTAAACAGAAAATATCAAAATATTCTGGAAATCTTGCATTATATTTGTTCTACAGGCTGTTGGTCTTCATTGTTTCTCATGGGCCAATGTCACATCATTGTAAATGTTCAGTTTTCTATGAAACATGATGGATATTCTGCCATCACTATGAACATTCAGAAAAATTTCTCATTCTCACACTAACATACATGGGAAGTAACTACTCCTATCAAGCATTAGGATGACATATTTTAAGTGATTGGGGCTGGCCTTGAATACCTGAGCTTTTTGAGAGCTTCTTTGAGACCGTGTGATTCAGTCTCTAAGTAGCCTATCAATTAAAGTCCTCTCCCTTCACTGCAGTCTTAAATACTTGTCAGTATTTATTTGACCAGAAGAATAGCAGATCCATCTTCTAAAGGAAATTGTGACAAATCACAGAATGGACTTCTGGAATCTGGCAATCAGATTTATTTACTTATCACAAATTACAGCTGGAAGTCTGGGAAATTTCTTTCTAATTTTCTACTACCTATCCCTTTACTGGAGAAAACACAGAGTAAAGCCCACTGATTTGATTCTCATGCACCTAATGGCAGCCAATGCCTTGATCATTCTTTCCACAGGAGTGCCCCAAGCAATGGCAGATTGTGGATTTAAGCATTTCTTGAATGATTTTGGATGCAAGCTCCTGGTGTACATTCAAGGAATTGGTAGGAGTATGTCAATTGGAACCACCTGCCTCTTGAGTGTCTTCCAGGCCTTGACCATTAGTCCCAGGAAATCAGGTTGCAAGGATCAGAAAGTCAAAGTTGAGAAGAACATTCACTGCCACATCTCCCTCCTCTGGATCCTATACATATTGATAAATTTCATTTATTATGCATACACATTTGTCAAGAGAGATAACAAAAATGTGACAAGAAAACGAGATATTGGTTATTGCTCCATTGTAAGGTGGGATGAAATTGGCTCTTCAATCTATGTAGCACTGGTGGTTTGCCCTGAAGTGTTCTTTTCTGTGATCATGGCCTGGTCCAGTGGTTCCATGATTGAAATTCTCTACAGGCACAAACAGAGGGTTCAACACATCCACAGCACCCATGGTTCTAGCAAAAAGTCCCCTGAATCCAGAGTCACCCAGAATATTTTGATCCTTGTGTCTACCTTTCTAGCTTTTTATACTCTGTCCTCCATCTTAAAAGGCTACCTTACTCTTTTATATAATCATAATTGGTGGCTGGTGAACATTAATCGGATCACTTCTCTCTGTTTTCCATCATTTGTGCCCTTTGTTCTCATCTATCGGTACTCTATTGTACCCAGGTTGTTAGGTCTGGATAAGGAATAAAAATCATTTAATGTCATTTAAGCATGTAAATGATGTTTTGTTTGCTATGCAGTTGTTTACTCACCAGTCACCTCAATACAGAATGATAAGTAGGTGGCACAGTGCCTTTTTAAGATTGGCTGAAATGGAATATGATAGTTTTGTCAGCTGTGTGGATCAGCAGTGGAATGATCCAACCCTATACTGTGTTACCCATTGTACTATTAAACTTGAAGCTTTGAGAGTCTCTCATTTTCTCTCCTGATGTTTACAGGATCCAGCAAAAAGATGTCAATAAAAACGTCATTCTTGTGGCTTTCATTCTATCAGGGAAACTTGGTTGCTTGGTGACTTCACATACAGGACCGTGTAGTCTATAACTGCACAAATACTGAAATGGGGCCTATCCATGAACTTGTGACTGAGGCTCAGGTTTCAACACAACTGCTCTAGCCAGAAACATTAGAAGAAAAGAAGATGATTAATATCTTTTATCTTGTACAAAAATCAGTACAAAATGACTGATGGTTTGCTTTTAATACTCAGTTTTGTTTCCTAGTATTTTACTGAGAATTTTAGCATCATCAAGGACATTGACTTGTACATTTCCTTTGCTCTAAATTTGCTTTTATCTGGTTTGGCATCAGTATAATGGTGGCTTCACCAAAATAGTTTGAAAGAAATTAATACCGCTACTCTAGAAATCAGTTCTGGGGTTTCACAACAAAACTAAAAATTGAAGTAATATTTGACCTAGGCAATCCACTCTTGTGCATATACCTAGGAACCTCATATCATGCCCTAGAAATACTTTTGCATACAATTTCATTTCCCTTCTATGTACCACAACAATCAAATGGGGCTACTTACATGTCCGTAAACAGATCAACTGATGATAAAATGTCAGTTCATGTGAAAAATGGAATATTGATTGACAACAGTAAAAGATGAAATCCCAAAATGTGTAGGAGAATTGATGGAATGATAAAGGATACTATTAAGCCAGGTCACACATCTGATAAGGAAAATAGAAAAGTCACATAGTTTCCATCATATTCAGATCCTATCCAACAATTCCAACAATGGAATCTTGAAATTTGCGGGAAAATGATTGGAACTAGAAGAAACCAATCTGTGCGAGGTAATCCAATCACAAAAAGACAAACATGGTATGTACTCAATCATATGTGAATTTTAGGCATAGAGTAAAGGATTACCAGCCTACAACCCCCCCTGCCATAGAAGCTAGTAAACAAGGAGGACCCTAAGAGAGACATACATGGTCCCCTGGAGAAGGGGAAAGGGTCAAGATCCCCTGAGCAAATTGGGAGCAGGGGAAGAGGGGGAGGTAGCTAGGAGAATGAGAAGGAGAGAAGAGGAGGGATGCAGAGGACATGAGGGAGCAGACAGGTTGAGTCAGGGGAAGAATAGAAGATAACAAGAAAGGAGACGCCATAATAGAGGAGACATTTTAGGTTTACAGAGAAATCAGGCACTAGGGAAATATCTGGAGATCTACAAAGATATCACCAAATAACAATCTAATCAACAGAGGAGAGGCTACCTTAAATGCCCTCCCTTGATAATGAGCTTGATGACTGACTTATATGCCACCTGATTGCCCTCATCCAGCAGCTGGTGGAAGTAGAAGCAGACACCAATAACTAGTTACCGAACTGAACTGGAACCCAGATGCAGAGAAGGACCAGTGAAGAGCACAGAGGTCCAGACCATGCTGGTAAAACCCACAGAAACAGCTGATCTGAACATCAGGGAACTCTTGCTCCCAAGACTGATAGCTAGAATACCAGCATGGGACTGATCCAGACCCCAGGAACATGGCTTCGAGTGAGGAATCCTGAGAAATCTATGTGACCTCCTGTAGTTGTTCAGTACTTATCCCTAGCATACATGTGGAATTTGAAAGTCCATTCCACATAGAGGAATACTCCCTGAGCCAAGACACATGGGGGTGGGCCTAGGCCCTATCCCAAAGGATATGATAGACTCTGATGACACCCTATGAAAGGCCTCACCATCCAGGGGGAGCAAAAAGGATATGTCATCAATAGGATTTTGGTTGGGGGTGGGTGCTAGGGGAGGAGAGGAGGAAGAAGGGAACTGAGATTGTCATGTAAAAGAATCTTGTTTCCAATTCAAATAAAAAATCTAAGAAAAAAAAAGATTTCTAGGGAGAAACCGGAAGTTTGCTGTGAGATAATACCTTCTAGAAATACAGATTCCTAAACAAGACCTGAACAAGGATAATAATGATAGATATGATAATGTGGGAAGGGAGAATCTCATGAATTATTAACAATCAAAAACTTTAAAAAGCATTGCTTTTAAAATTTTCACTCAGCATCCAAAAAAAAAGAAGAAACTACAAAGTAAAGGATCTAAAATCTGAGGGAAGAAATAATTGTCTCACACACAATTACTTCTCTGCATGTTCCTTTATACTTCTTCTTCTCACTTTATCCTTTCTCTCTACTTTTTCATTCTCTGATTCTCCTTTCTCTGTTTCTCTGTTCTTTCCCAGTTCTTGGGAGTACAGGTGTACATATATTTGTAACAGTAATTATGTTTACAATGTAATGTGAATTTGAGTTTCTGAGAGTCAGAAAGGCAGATAAGATTTCCACACACAGCAATAAACTAAAACTTCTAGGTGTAACAATAAGTCTTTAGTCCATGCTGTCCAAGTCCTGCTACCATGTGGGCACTTTCTGCCAGCCCGCCCATGTTCTGCCCACTGCCACGTGAAGGTCCCAAGTAATGCACTGAGAATTATATTAGGTAGAAATGCTGTTTGGCCAATGACTAGGATTTCTCATCTGCTATCTTAGTGTTAATTATCATAAATCTATATATTTTATAAGACTTATCTAATGTAGGATGCCTTCTGCTGGTGCTCCCTCTTGCCAGAAAATCACATGGTGACTCCAGAGCAGAGACGAGGAGGAAGAGAGAGAAGGTATGACTTCCTTCTTGCCCTTGCTTATATATGAGTCTCCCCGCTATGTCACTACCTGCCTGTTTCACCACTTCTTTACCACATTTCTCAGAATCTTCCTTGACTCCTGGTCCCTCTTAACTTGCTGCCTCATTGGCCAAACAGTACTTTATTTATCATCCGATAAGACAAACACCTACACAGAAGCACTTGCCCCATCATCTACTCTTTTCTATCTAAAAAAAAAGGAATGACTTATCTTTTATAATAACTGAATAAAGTTATGACCATAACTACCTGTCTTCAACTCCATCAGAGATCACAGAAAGATCGTATTCAAACTCTAGAATTGACAGAGACATCTCGATACCTGGACAGTAACCCAAACTCCTCTGTAATGCTGGGGCATCCATCTTCAGCCCATAGGCCACAGTGTGTCTGGCACACTTCTCCATTTCAGTAGGAACCCTTCAGGACTGTCCATCTTGTTCTGCAAGTTCAGCAGTCACGTGTTTGTGGGTCCTGCATGTCCAGTTTATACAGCAACAAACAGTGCAGGCAAGAGTAATTTCTTGCCCAAATGGTTAATCTTGCCATGTTGAAGGCAAACTCCTTCTGCGATGCCCATCCTCCTTTCTGACATACTTGGTGTGCCAGGAGCAGTTACATCTCACTGTCAAGAAAAATCCTCAACTATTTAAATGCCATATATTCTGTATGTCTTTGAAAGATTTAAAGAATATCCCTCTCAAATACATCTTTGTATATCTACAAAACCTAACAAACCTAATTATAATTTTTCACTATTACAGGTGACTATATAATCTGTATTTCATTATGCATATCATTTTAAAAGATATGTATAAACATAATGCAAAAACAAGAAGAGACATATACATATCACAAAATTTAAATTAAAGTTGTATCAATAAATACCAATGCAAAGAATTCATTCCTGTATCGTATTCCCCCCCCCCTTTTTAAAAAAAGAGATTGAGTGTGATCATTACCATTTATAACAAATCCCATTTAAATGAAACCAAACATTTTAAAAGAATATTTGGGAATTTGGGGGTTGTTCATTCCAAACTGCTTCCTTCTGGTTAGGGGTGATGTCCATACAATGGTGATCATGATGAAACACATAAATCTGGCCATAGTCATCTATGGCTGCATCATCTCAGCTGTTTTGGATGTAGGATCATATGGGCCACTGCTTCAGGGTGTCTTGCTTGATCAAAACATATGAGTCTGGAAGGAATCCACAGCTTTTTATTTTCTGTAGAAACACAAGGAGAAACTCTTTTTCCAAGTAGTCTGTTGTTAGACTTAAATTTTGATGTCAAAACATTTTTTAAAATGTTTAGTTGGATTAATTTAGCAGCACTTATAATCAGATGTATTTTAGCAGCTTTAACTCTTTCCTCGGCAATCAAACAATTTAAAGACAATAATATAGCATATAGTATCCAGAATCTCTGTGTGTTTTCCATCTTTATGTGGCTTTTCTGTTATTCTATTTTTACTTTTGTTTGTTTCTTTTTTCTGTAGACAGGGTT